GGTACTATCTGAATCCGAGAGAGATTTCCCACATTTTCCCTGTATACTTATATAATACAATAGTTATTTGTTTTACAGGCAGAAAGGCACAAATTTAATTCCATAGCTGATGTTTCATAGCAATTAAGGTTATAGGAATCCAGCCATGGCATTGAATCTTCTCTTCTGTCATGTGAAACATATTTTTTCTCCAAATTCATTCCAATTTCATGCAAAGAACATATTTTTCTCCAAATGACATTGAAAGTGGCTTTTTAATTACACTTGATGGATACAAAAGGTGTATTTTTACTGCATAGGCTGGAAAAGTCAACATTTTCTGATAATAGGTAGTAAAAATACACCTTTTATGCCTGTCAAGTGTCACTATAAAGCTTATTGGAAGGAATTTGGAGAAAAAAAAAATATTTCACATGACACAAGAGAAGATTCAATGCCTTGGCTATGAAACACCAGCTGTGGCATTAAATATCTTGTACTTTTTTGCTTGGTAAAATAAATAACTATTATTTATAGACCTATCCAGGAATACCTATTGTTTTATTACTTCATTTATACCAGCTATGTAAATGAAGAAACAAAACTGAATTTGACTGAATTCTACCAGTGGCCATATTGAAAGTCACTTATTTTAGGCAGCCTTATTGAATAATAATATATCTAAGAACTATGATTCAATATTCTACATGCATGAAGATATATTATAGTAAGTAGGCATATATAGTACTCATAGTAGGTAGGGTATATTTTTTGTGGTATGTTAGCCATCATCAGGAAGTATACCTTTTCCCACCTTTGAAATGATCAAAAATATAATTTTTAATTCTTTACCTATATCTACCTACTTGATTTCATTCTAAATACAAGAGTAATGAATATTAATTCACCTCTACCCATCACATCACAGTCAGATTCTACTGAATCTAGTTCTGCAAATTCACTCATTGGTTCCTCCAAACTAAGATGCTTCTCCAAATGAATAGTAGGTTGATTTTGCACAGTTATTCCTTGAGTATGAGTACTATGTTTCCACCGCCACTCTGTTGTTCTTGAAACAATTTGAGAAGATTCTGGGTCAAGAAATAATTTTCTCATTTTCTTTGATGGACCTGGATTCTCCTCTGCCATGATTTAAAATTTAAATTTAAAGTAGGTACGAACTAGAAGTAGGTATAGAGTTTAGGTACCCTTGGTACCTACTTTATTTATTTCGATTTTTTTTGTATTAACTGAACCAAATATCTAATATATATCTAATATCTATTGTAAATATTGAACTCCTAGGTGGGTAGAAGTACCTAGGTACTAGGTAGAGGCACCCATTGGCACCTACCCTACCTACAACAAGCACACCACACACCAGAGACTACGACCGTCGACCGACACTTTGGACACTTTGTAACAAAAAGTATAGTAATAATAATTATCAATATATCAATCTCGATATCAATATTGTTTGGTAAAAGGCAAACTATTAGAGGAATGTTTAATCGAAGAATAGTAGAGGTTATGTGGTAAATATTCATTTGGCGATTGGCGGGCATGCGACATTGCGACATGCCGGCGGCGGCGCAGCGCAGAGCAGGAGCAGAGGTACAGGTACTGGTTAATTGGTTATAGTTAGTGGTCCGCATCTAGTACAAATAGAAAATGGAACTTTTTACTTTTTAGGAGTCCCAATCCTCATTCCTCATTGGTCACAATCGTGGTCACAATAAGTTACGTGATTCGTGATATATTGAAATTTGTGTTATTCGATGAGTATTTTTGCGAATATACAGTGGAGGCCGTGATCTGATGAGTATTTTGGTGGTGTCAGAATTTGGTTGGGGTTATAGGGAGTTGTACCTGAGATCACCACATATTTCAATCCGAGCTCTGTACATTCTTCAAATGGTTATCGAAATTCACGATATTTCATATAACAAAAAACCCGGGAAAACGCGTAAAGATATATACTGCGATCAATACAATGCAACTATTATAATATTATATATATACCATACGAGTTATACGATGACGTATATATTATTATGTTTATCTCAGAAAACTTCTACAGTGGAAGTAAAAATTCTTATTGCTATATATGAAATGTGGATATACTTTATTCACTTTGTTGAGGCATATCTCGGCGCCCTAGAAGTGGTTCGGATTCCATTATAAGCTGAAGGTCCCGCTCTTATTTCCTAACCCCGCACAATAAGTTTCGACTTCTGGGGAGTTGGTTTCCAACTTCGAAGTAGTGATATATACAAATTTGAAAAATTTAATACGACACTATTGGTGCCTATCGCTCTATCACGTCATCGAGATCTAGCGTTTTTGAGAGGAGATCATTTTCATTATTGGATGAAAGTATTTTTGTGATGATTTTGAATGATGATTGACTGCATCAAATATATATGTATATCATATTAATAACATGAAACGATCGCTATATCAAATAAAGGTATGTGGCGCAAATTCAACTTGTGTGTACCACCCCATAATTGTGGTGTAGGGTGTATATATAGGTAGTATGATGATGATTCGCTGAATTTTCGATATTTCCATAGTTTTTGTCTGGATTTTATAAAAATTAAAATCGATGTCAGCTGATTCCAATCACTCCCATACAATAATATCTTGTTTATTTATTTTTTCATCAGGTTTTCACTTCCTTATAATAATATATAAATATATGAATGAAAGTTTTACAGGATTATATCCGGACAACAACTAGGTATAAAATACAGGTACCTACTGAAGTTTTCTATGAACTTTTTTCGGAGATTTTGTGGTCGCGCAGAAGTCAGAAGTCGGTGATGGTGGTGTATTGGCAGGCAGTATGTGTCATGGAAAAAACTTCACAAACGATAAGATCTCCACAAAATACCTAACATGTGTTTTCAGGAATTTTGTGGAAATTTTATAGTTTGTGAAATTCCGTTTTTCCATCAATGTGTTGTGTATATTCTATTGGTACATCGGTTTCATCATAAATTTCATTATAAATTTCATCAGAACAATTGATGACGTCATGACAAAAATGCGCATTATCAGTGCGGACTTTCTTCGATGGAATGAAAAACGCACCTCTTACATTTGTCTAGGAATTTTACTCATACGTGAGTGCACATCTTCCGTCAAGTTAACCACTTCCAAAATGTGAATATAAGCAAATTGCACAAAATTGACGAAAATAGACACGATACATGTTCTGTGGTCAATTGTCACTCCTGTGTGTTGTGTGCTGTGGTCAAATTGATTTGAAATCGAACGTTAAAATTAGCAAGAATTCATATAACCAGGACATCCTCCATATATACAAAATTCAGACCAATCCTACAACCCGATTGAGATTTTGTCTCCAATTTTCAAGAATTCTCCTCAAAATTCCAAGAATTCTCCTCAAAATTCCAAGAATTCTCCCTGAAATTTCGAATTCTTTTCCCAAAATCTCTAGATTTTTTCTGAAAATCAAAGTGGCCCTGCTTACTCTCATGTTTTTTCATGAAAACGTTTGCGGACTGGTGGGTATTTCTGATGGATATCAAAATAAATATACGTAAGTATAGGTTCTAGTTATCAAATTTGAGAATTGAATTTGTTTCCTATAGCACCCTCCCCCCATCGAGGGCACTTATGTAAATCTTCCGGACTCGATATTTTTATAATATAGAGGACACGTTTTTTTTTATTTTTCCATAGCCAGCCATCAGTCCGCACATGTTTATGAAACAAATGACACGAGTAAAGTAGAGGTACCATCACTTAAGGTTGAGTGAGATAAATTTTTACCTTTACTAGAAAAAAAAGTGATAGTTTTTTTTATCTTGAAGGCCCATAAAACTTCCTTATATTGGTGAGTTTTCAACTCTTACCAATATTTTTTGAATATATAATCACCCCCTTCATATTTTGCGTACAATTTCCGGACACGACCCTGTACAGCAGTTGACTGATGCTCTGAATCACTAGAATTCAAATTTTGTCGAAACCATCATAAGGGTAATCGAATTTCATCGAGAGGACCATTTTTATTGTAGTAAATAATTTCTTCACATTGGCGTAGAAGTTTCAGATGTTTATTTACTGAAAAAATCAAGTTCTACGCCCATGGCATATATGATATATTATTTATCATGCTTATGGGTGGTTTTATCCAATTAGGCTATGAAGCCAACGCGTACTGAATTTGAGTGGAATCTATATACTCAATATATGAGCCATTTCAAAGTTATAAAGCAAAAAAATGATTTGAAAATTGTTACTTCTAGTGTAGATAGCTACAACAAACAACTCAGGAAAGTTTGCTCAAAATCCTCATATCTAATTGTGTTGGTCTCAGGAATATATTATATGTGATGCGAGTTTTTGTAGTAGACCTTTCAGACACACCCTGTAATTCGACTGCATTTTTGATTATTTTGTCTATTATCTTTATAAGCAGTCATCCATAGATTAACCATGAAATTATAGCTATAGAGATGAATCTGAAAAAAATAGAGAAACTTGAAATTGAAAATGAAACTAAAAATTTTGAGAAGAAATCTTGAAATTAGGAGACTTGAAATAAATGAAATAAATGAAAGGATTGTGATGCCATGCGCCGTCGCTAGTAGGCATCAATGCAAATTAAAACAATGAAATTTTAATTTCGAATTTACCGCCATGGCAAGAATTATTCTGATTGGTCTAAAAATTCGGCTATGGAGCAAGTCCGGTCGTGTGAATTCTTGCCGTTGAAAGACGTTACAATTCGTTAGTCGGCTTCGGCTCGTGCTGTGCTCGTGCCTCGTGCTCGATTCGAAAACTCGAAAGTCGAACTCGAAACCGGTGACCGGTAGACCGGTACGCACGACGCCATCATGAAGTGAAGTGATAACGCGGTGCCGCGGATTTTTCATGATGGAAATATTGTTGCATTTATTTATGATGTGCGTTACTTTTTAGTCTAGTCTAGGTCGTGAGATTTGAAATATTATATGCGATATATATGAAGCATAATAATACTAAAAATGTGGGTATATGTAAAATTTTTAGAAGATGATGTTTGTGAAATTGTGGAAGCGTCGAACATAAAAAGGTTCGACAAAGATGACATAAAATACAACCAAAAATATTCTGTGAAATGGAAGGATGGGGACTATTATAAGGCCCAAATAATATATGCAAAAGGTAAGCAGTTCAGATTGACGAGATTTTTTATTTATAATAGTTCCTTTTATTACTCAAGTCCATCAATCAAGTTGAATGTTATAGTGTTGCTTGATGTAGATTTTCCAATACTGAGTCCTGTGTATAATACCTACCTAGTACCTAGGTATTATCACCAGTTTCGTCACCGGCGATGTTAATTCTTGGTTTTGCTGGGTTTTGCTGTATATAGGTATAGATATCTCTTGTAATTTGCTGTTACTTGATTCAGAACTCCACTGATTGTTGACTGAAACTGATTGTTAAGTAATGAAACAATATACAGATAAGCAGCGAGGTTGCTGATGCTGCTGTACCTACTCTACCATAGTTATGTACTTACAAACTATAAGTATCACAGTATACACCAGTACTTGGTAGGTGTTGGTACATACCTACAAGGTGGTACCTTCCTTATCTATGCTTCCTTGAAACTCTTGAGTTGTTCTTATTGTTGTTTCATACAAATGTTAACAAGAGATTCCTCTCGTGAAAATGGAAAATAAGCAGAGGTCATCAACCCAAGAATATTATCATCATGGTTTTAGAGATGATATTTATCTACAGGGTTTTTACCAGAGCTGTGTTGGTGACATAACTCTTATCCATATAGGTATTTATTCACTCCTTAATTTCGAAGTGTGGCAAATTATTTTCTCAAACCTATAAGTCATGATGCTAATCCCTCAATAATGCAACCATTAATATATTCTGGGAATTGCCTTTCTTTGTGCTTTATAACTTGATATGTCTATCAATGTAATATGAAAATTGCACAGCTTGTGGACAAAAATTGTGGTAGAATTCACTTTCACTACCTGTCCAAAAAGCAGTTGGTTCAGTCATTATCATTCATGGAGAAATTGAAAATACCTAACTTGTCACCAATGAAGAACAAGCATTCTTGTCTCCTGAGTATCTATACATATTTTCAATGAAAATAGTTATACCTATAGGTATTTACTCTGGTTTATAGATTCTTTAAAAGATTTGACTGAAGTAATAGAGACAAGAAGGGTCAGGATGGTAAGGAAGCAGTTATTAAAAAGTGGAGATGAGAGTAGCTCAGAGGAAGGAACAGCAGGAACATCAAGAGACAAAATAGCTATAAAGAAGTCACTTGATTTGAAAAAGGCTGTAAGTATTCAAATTGAACAGGATATTTCTGTAGTTACTTATGTGTACATGTGTAGGTATAGATAATTCACTGGCATTGTCTTTTGGCTTATTTTGCATGAAAAGTATTTACAAAAGATAATGTCCTTTTGAGGCTCAATATTTATTGAGATATGCAGGATATATTGGAAGTTATTGAAAAAAATTAAATTACTTAGTTCTCATTCTCATTAAATTACCTTCTGTTATAGATTATTATGCATATGCTTTTAATAACAATAATATCAGGTCTCTTTTAAAGTTAGAGGTGAATTTAAAATTTTTTACAGGCCATGGAAAATGCTAGAAAGAATAATGAAATTAAAATTCTTAATAAACATTCATCAGAAAAAGCTCAGTTGGAACATACTTCCACTTCCAAACAAACAATATATCAGGACTTCCAGAAGACCATTGACCACCTAAAAAAGGAAAACGATATGTTGAAAAAAGAAAATGGCATGTTGAAAAAAGAGAAGGAGTCATTCAAAACAAAAACAGAGCATTTTGAAGATTTGAATATTTCGCTACAAAAAGAAGTCATAGATCTACTCAAAGGTGAGTTTGTAGAATAAACTAATTATAGGTCAACTCTTCAGGCCAAGGTGTAAAAGTGGGTTCTCACATTGAAATCATTGGGTACTTAATTGCTTAATGGATACTTGATTTACAGATTTCAAAAACAAGTTGACTCCTGACATAGCTATCCATAAACCTGGAGATATAAAGGTGGGACAGATTGTTGATGATGAGGTAAAGTGAAAAAATGTATTGACTCTATTATCATTTATTATGCATCCCCTTATGTATCTTATGAAAGTTTAGTACTGGAGTAATGGCAATTTACCAAATTATTAGTGTTGAATACTGTCTGTAGATTGATTGAAGAGGTGTGCTTACAACTTCATAACTTAACTCTTATTTCTGTGAATTATTGAATTGTAATTTCAAAGAGCTTTCCATAATATATTATTTAGATGTTTCAATTTTATCACAGATTCAAAATGAACCAGCAAGCAGGAGATTACATAAAAAAACATGATTGTGAACATTGAATTATTAACTTGATTATTAGTTATATTCATCAATGTTTGAAAGGATATTTGATAAGTGTTCAGTGTATGTATCACACTGTGATATTGACATTAATCTGATACTATTGAAAATTTCGCAACTAACATTTTCGATCATGAAATTACACTAGAAATTTTTTGACGTTTATAGGTAAACTGACATTTACATTTAACTTCGGATTATGTCGAATTCATTCTTATGTTGATGAGTTCCTCCCAGAATAATATATTTCTACCAACTTTAGCTGACTGAATATGTGAAAAATGGAGAGATTGTGGTAAAATCCTTATTTTTCATTATTTCATTGAACTATAGTTGTTCAATTATATTTTATTTTACCAAATAATATTATGTGAGTGAATTCCATTGATTCTAAATAGTACTCAGAGTTTCTTGTGAGAAAATATATTTCTACCAACTTTAGTGAAACTAATTTGTCATGAACTGAGAAATTGAGCTACTATCCACTTATTTTTCATTATTTTGTGTAACTAAAGTGAGTTAATTGTTTTTTATTTAACATAACAACATGTTATGGATGCGAGTTTCATTAATACTACTACTACATATTGCTTTGAGTTCCTTGTAAAAAAATATGTTTCCACCAACTTTAGTGGATTATAGTTAAGAATAATGGTTTGAACTACCACCAGCTGCCTTATTAATAGTTTGGCTAACTAAAGTTGGTATTTTGTATTTTATTTAGGATAATCTCATACTAGTATTTTTTCAATAAAATTTCAGTGTGAAATTTTCTTACCGAATACCACTTTAGCTCCAATTAATATCCTGTTCTCATGATTTTGCCAAAACTCTTGGGAGTAAATCAGAATAAGTGAATCATGTCCTTTTTTTTAAAGCAATGCTAATTATTATTCATAAGCATTTAAAAAAAATGCATTTTGAAATTATCAAAAATAAGTGCAGAATCAAAATGTATCCTCATTATCTCAAATTATCTTGAATTTTCAGGTGCATATTGGCCAAGATATTTTCCTCAAAAAATCAACATATAATTCATGTCTTGTGTCTGCACGATCTGGGGCCCAATTTGTAAAAAATATAGCAGTTGCCATATTTGGTATTGATGTTCTGAAAAATTCGTCAGTTACTGGAAAAACGAGTAACAGGATTAAAAAGCCAGATGCAAGGCCACCTCTTGACCCTAATAAATTGCAGGCCATAAGAGGTAATTATTTATATTGTATTATTTTTTATGGATAACCATTTTGTGTCATATCATTTTGTATCTTCTCATTTGACCATAATCATTTTGGTATTTCCCACCATCTGAAGACAAGAATTCTGATCTAAATGGTATACGTCAGAAATGAAAATCACTAAAATAATTCCATTTTCTGATATTTTGATAATATGTTTCATTCCTATTTTGAACACAGAGTGTACATGGTGGGCCAAATCAGACACTTTTATAGGGAAAGTCCTATTTCCAAACTAAATAGACGAAAACTGAAGTTATGAGAAACTCCATGGTGAAATCTGTATATCCTTTCAAAGTTACTAGGTATTTTTGAACATGTGCATTTTTGGAAAAAGTTGCTGAAACTCATTTTTTTGGCAAAATTTCTTTCTTTTCATGAAAACATTGCCAAAAAGCACATGAAAATGGATCCTCAGGCACTATCATCAGTTTTCCTATAACTTTGAACGTTTGAAAATAGAATTTCTCCTCAAATATCATGTTGATTTTTAATGAATTACAAAGAAAAATTATAATCATTGTTAGGGCAAATTTATGTAATTTCTCTATCAGAGACCATAGTTGCTATGGTAATTATCTCTGATATAGGATGATTTCCAGATTGCATTTTGGTTTTGATTTCCATTCTGAGCCCCAAAAATTCAATCTATTGTTGAATTGTTCAATTGAGAATTTACAAGTTTCTGTTTTCTTGCTCTTCATTTGATTTTGTCCATATTGTCAAATAAACTGATCGAAAAAAATTAAGGATATTGTGAATCTGAGACATGGTATTAATAGCTATAACACATTTTGTCCAAAGTTAATGTGGTATAGCAAAAACACACTATCCTTAAATTTTTTCTATATTCTATATTTTTCTACAAACGTTGAATAATGACAAGGTTAGCGCATCGATAACAATATGCGAAGTGACACTTTTTTTCAGTTTCCTTCATTACCACGACACCGTGCGCGAAGTAAAACAGTGGGCGAAGCACATACTTCGCTCACTGCATGTAAACTAAAATTTTTTCCACAAACGTCAAAAATGACAAAGGTTCACGCTTTGATAACAATATGCGAAGTGATACATTTTTTTCAGTTTTCTACTATATGGCTGCGCTGCGCCTCGTTAAAAAAATCAGTTCCTGCTCACCAAAGTAGCATTTCGCACCCTAGATTCAAAAATAACTATTGAAGTAAGGAACAGAGGCCCTATTCAAATAATCAGAGCAAATAATTTTTTTCTGCAATTCGATGCTTTTTTGGTATTCATTGATTCATTTGGTTTCATAGGAAACAAGTTATCAATTAGTCATTATTATTAATAATTGAAAATACATCTAAGTAATAATCAATAACTCCTCTTGTTTTCCAAGTAACTAAAAATTTCAGGAAGCAAAGCTGTCAAGTTACTCCAACCGGATAAAAAAATATTCCCTCTGTGGAAAGTAATCAGCTCCTTCATCACTATTATAAAATAAATAAAAATTCTTTTAGTTTGTAATTTGCAATTACAAATGAGTCACAGAAAATACTTCACCCCCAATTAAAACATGCTAGTTTTCTTTGAACAACTAAGATATATTTTCAAATGAATAATTATGGGAAATTGAGTTTTTATTTCCTGCCTCTCGCCACTCATGAGTGGAGGTGAAACGAACAAGTGGCCTCTAGGAAAGCTACTTTTTGCTCTGCTGGTGAATGTCATGGGAATGCCATTATTCAACATCATGTGAATTGACGCAAAAGATGTTATCATTTTCTGAAGTTTGATGAAAAATGTAGTTATACAGGGTGTCCCATAAGTGATGGATCAAAAGAAGTGGGGTGGTAGGGGGGGTCATTTCCAATCAAACTAACCGTATATGTGGTTATCCAATTGTTGATAGTTCAAGAGTTATTCAATTTTTTTGACAAACGCGACCCATTTGAGAAAATTAATAACTAAGAGTCTGTTTTGAATAACCCCATATGTTTTACCATTTCGGAATCTGTATTGAATGGGTAACTGTTTCTGATAGTTGGTCATCTTTGTGGGGTAGTTTTCGAATCTGCCAGCGGCATTGAAAATTCAACTGAATTATTTCATCCAACAAAACTTGAGGAAAACAACATTTTTCTTAATTGATACAAAGTAACACAGGTCATAAAAATCATTTCGTGGGAAAGGTGCATCCAAGCGGATAAAATTTGTAGAAGAAAAAAATCACAAAAGTGACATACTTAGTTATGAATGAAAAAAATTGAATAACTTTTGAACCATCAACAATTGGATAACCACATATACGGTTAGTTTGATTGGAAATGACCCCCCCTACCAACCCACTTCTTTTGATCCATTACTTATGGGACACCCTGTATATTCAGAAAGCTGTTTCAATTGATCAGGGATTCTATCTTGCTTTTCTGGAACTGCCTGAAGTTCTGAAATAACCAAGTTCGTGGAACATTTTACTGTGAAACATAATTTCACTACTAAAATATTATACCTATATATTTTGAGGTGCTAAAAAATTTTTATATTTCTTTCTTTTCTCAGATATATACAAACATTATCTCCTTCAGAAGGGGCAAGATGAGGTCAGTTTAGACTATGACCTGAGCAAAATTGGGGTACATATTTCCTCAAAGATTTCTGATTTGAATCGAATGACTAGATGTGAGTAGCTATGATGTATGTTTACACTAGAAATTTTTCATGTGTCATTAACATTGTCATCTTTGCAACTGTTCGAGATACTAAGTTGGATGAACTGCAGAAAAGTTGCATTTTTTGAATGTCATTCATTATGTTGACATGGTCATCAAGTTGTTTTCAGTTTCTGAATATTGAGAACAATTCCATGAGAACAATTGTCCAAGAATAATAACAATGAAATGTTCGAAATTAGGGATCTATAATTTTTTTTTAACTGAAAAAATGATTTTCTTGATTATCTCGGACATCTTTTTTTTTTGAGATCTCTTTCAACTTTTTTTTTGTATACATAACTAGATTTTCAATTTGTTTAGTGCTCATTCCTATTCCATTTCCTATTCCTAATGCATTAAAAAATAAACAGGAGTTACAGTAGTACCTATCATTTCAAATTGGAGTGGAACATATGCAATCAATTTTCAACCTTGTGGTCTGTCTTTTTCAGGGTCATTGCAGGTAAACCTTGTTTATTCAAATGGATATCTATATTTTTCTCTACTTAATATTGAATGACAGAAAAGAGTTATCTAACAAATTTTGTCGAAGATATTCTTCTTCAATTATTATATGCACTTCAGGGATTTAAAGGGCACCTTAATTCCCTATTTTCGGGGAAAAAATGGTACTTCAAATCCCTAGGGATTTGAAGTACCACTGTTTTCCCCGAAATCTGGATCACCATAGTTACTAAAGTCGTTGATATGGTAACAATCAGCCCCTTCGATGTTTTAGAAATAGAGTACCTAACATTTTTCTTGATTATTTGGGATTTACTCTCCTCGTGTCTACAAAATTAAAATTTGAGTATTCTTTCAATATAAGTGTAGTAGGACAAATCAGATGATTTGCCCCAAAATGTCACTGCACTAAAAAAATTTGTCTATCAGAGAGCCTGAAAAAGAAATTCAATAATTGGTCAGTGACACTTCGTTTAGAAAAATATTTGAAGAAGATGAATTGAAGATGGAAGTATTGAAAGTATCAAATTTTCACTTATCTTTGGGCGTTTCGGGAATGAATCTGCTCCCGTTTTCAACATGAAAGTGCAAAAAATATTTTCTCAACAAGTAAATGGTAGATTCAAGATCAATCAATGAAACAGTGTAGTGTGATTATCGTGCTGAAGGTTCCAGTCTTCGATTTACCATGTTTTTGAATACAAAATCGCCCAGCATTTTACTACCACGAATTTGCGTCTGTGAACAGGTGACAAAATTTCCTGAATATCATACCTGTTTTACCAGGAAATGATTCACACCCATGTTCTCTCTCGAGTCGTCCTGTATATTTTGTATTGAGTAAATGCAGATTCCCCAAACCATTGCAGAAAAACCATATTTTTTAATCTTGACACTCCACTTTTCACCTAACTCGACCAGCAAAAATATATCCTGTACTGCTTGATCCGTCGATCATTTGAACAAATATTTTCAGCAAAGCCAACTATTCTAAAGCAGAGGCAAATCAATATAGATAGCCAAGAGATTAATTTACTTGAAGAAAGGAATTCTGATGAGAATAATGTGGATGAAATGAACATTGATTTTGAAGAAAAGAGCTCGGATGCAGAGAAGAATTCAGATGAGAAGAACTCGGATGAAGAGAAGGGTTTAGATGAAAAAAACTCGGATGAAGAGAAGGATTTAAATCAAAAAATTCCGGAGGAAGAGAAGTATTTAGAAAACGAAATAATCGATGCATACAAAGGACATAACTTTGTTGAAGATAATATTTTGAAGGAATCTGATCTACATTCAGATGGAGATAGCTCTTGTGAGGAGAATATGGAATGATCATGTTTTGATCCTCATTCGATTCACTTGTAACCCCTTGATTGAATATTTCCAAATTTAAATAGTTATACCTAGTATATTTAATGATGTTGGTTAGAAATATGACATTGAATTCATGATATTCTTTCATTTATGCAACAAGGTAAAATATACATATTTAGTGATTGAATTGACATATTTTTGGTAATGTAGTTACATTAGAATAAAGTGTACTTAAGCCAGTCAAAACAAAAATAGTGTTATGTTTGGTGATTCAGATAATCATCAATGCTATATGGTTCCATATCACATGAACTGTAGAAGTGGTTTCTTTAGTGATTTCAAGTCTGAAATTGCTTTCAAAGATAAAGGGAATTGTTTTAAAATTCATTAAAGAAATCCATAATCATGGATTTTGAAATGTTGGTGACGGATTCTGAATCGGGATCACGTACATACCTGTACCGATTCATATCATTGTGAAATACATACAACAAGAATATTTTATTAGAATGATTAAATCACAGCAGTACTATTTTGATCAATCATTTGAAAAATATGTGATTTATTTTCTCAAATATACTAAATTTTAGAATGATTAATATCGACACAGGTGTGTTTAAAGTGATCCTGAGAACCCGTTGTTAGTTTCTGTGAAAAACTCGATAGTATGCATTAGAAATAACTACCTAACAAAAAAGTTTATCAAGATCAATGAAAAAAACTAAGGTGGTGAAGTCAATGTCGACAAATTCCAATCAATAAAGCAGTTCTATAGGTTGTCTAGGTTGTCACACTAACTGTTTTTTTTTACATATCTTGAGTTTGTATAAATGAGTCCTATTGTAAGTACACCCACATTAAAAAAAGAGTATTGAGGTTCACTTCCATATGATTCTGGACACACGGTGTTTTTCAACTCCACTCAAATCTCTTGTGTGCTGATTCCCATTACAAAATTAAGCAATTAATGGATAGAAACGGTTAGAAACGAAACTTGGTACAAACAATAAAGATTTTTTGCTTGGTAAGAATATGGTTTAAGAATATTCTGGAAAAATCATCAAGAAGTGGTTCAAACTTTTTTGTATTATATTTCGAATTTCCGACATGATATTAATAATATTTCAAAATGTTCCTCAAAAAAGGTCTCTTGTTGGCATGCGATAAGATACACGGTTCTCTCGTAAACTCAATTTGAAATTGTTATTGCTAACAATGATTGTTTCCATACAATTTCTGACATCTGATCGAAATTGATTGTTCCAATTTCTGTTTCCATCCAGAATAGTAACGGAAATATTAAATAAAACATTTTCGGACCCATGTTAATATGAACTTTTTTCTTACTTATGTTTGGGGAATCAGCTCACTAGAGATTTCGGTGGAGGATAGAAACACCCTGAATACGTTTATCCTGAATGTGATGCCATGTTCCTAACCGACATCATTTGATATAGCAAGTGGCCAAATCGATATACATGTATAGCTGATACATAAAAATCATCGGTTAGCAAAATTTGAAGATTAGGTTGTTCAACATTTGTGAAGTTGGTGATATTAACAAATGAGTGGCTCATCAATAAAGACAATGTAGAAATTCCTCTAGGACTCCCACATATTCCGAAAGTAGACTAGCAACTGATCTTCAATACATTGCATGTCACATTCCACAATAGTGAGAACATTGATTTATGGAAGAAATACTACAAAATTCAATAGTCAGAGGTTCAAGACCGGGAGCCCACAAAGTATTTTTTGTGTCTCATTTGTTCACACTCAGCAGTTTATGAACCCCTCAAACTATTCCTACCAGAACACGGATATGTGCTCGCCGAATAAAAATCGTTGACCAGAGGGTGGGGGTAGCGTCGGTGAAGTTGTAACACCTTGTGTCTCGAATCATTACTTACCGTTAAGCGTATGTCGCTAAGTAATGGGTTTGAACAAAAATTGGGCGGACGGCATTGTCGAACGTGTCGAACAGCACCACTGCGCGTCGTTATATATCCACCCTACACGGTAGGCAATGCCGTCCGCCCAGTTTTTTTTTTTTTTTTTTTTCGAATACATTACCTAGCTTAACGGTAAGTGATGATTCGAGACACAGGGTGTTTTCATACAACTCCACGATTTTTATTCGGCTAGCTCATTTCCGTGTTCTGGAAGGTGGAATTTGAGAGGTTGATTTTGTGGTATACCCTTCAAATTCAGCTAACAGTTTCATGAATCAGAATGTATGTGAAAAGTATACATTTTACCAACTGTGATACCCTTCCTTAAGTATTGAATTAACTTTAAGTGGTATAGGTTGAAAAGAAATTAATAATATTCCATTCTGTATATAGTTATATATTGTGATAATGTTATACAGGTTAACTCGATATCAGACGGTATCATTTCACCAGTGGCTTTCTAGAACTAATAATAGAAAGACAGTATAAACTAATATAGGTCGAGAGACGGCTCCTTTCGTATTTTGTGAAAGAAAGTGTAAAATTCAATATTATCTTGTCTGTAATGTTATGATGAGTTTGATCTTTTTTTAAGATGCTTCTCCTTTATTGAGGCTCATGTTTCGTCACAGTTGGCCATAAATAATGATACAAAAATAGCAATAAGGAAAAAACTCACCTGAGGAATAATTTTCACAAATTCTATTTTGCTCACGACAATTGTTTCGCTAAACATTATCTTCTTCATGATGTATATCACACTGAATTGTTTTCCCATTCAACTTGCTGTCAATGAATTACCACCAGAACAAAGACATAGTAACATAATATTAGCTGGGAGATGGTTTGGAAAATCAGAACCGAAAATGAATGTGTTCCTAAATGTTTTTGCTGACAATTGTATCATTATAGCAAATGAAGGGGTTAGTTGGAAAAGCTTTTCATCTCCAGTAGGTAGGTTCACTCTCAATTTAATTAGATAATAATTTTGGAGAATTTGATATCAAAAATTTTAAAATTCATATTATTCTTGTTGATAATGGTGAAATTCAATTCATACAAAATAACCAAAAGCCACTCAGTCAATATTCACAGTCAAAGGCAATATTCACCTTCATGGATTACTGTTCTTAATATGGAGTTCCTATGATATTTCTTTTTTTTTTTAGAAAAACATTTATTGGATTGTAGTAATGGTTCTACAGGAAATGACTTGTCTGAAATATGTAATAAGACATTTAGTGATACCTGTAGTAGTATATCTCATGATGTGATGGAAGCAGAAGATGAAATGGAAACGAAAGAATTTCCAGAAAATATAGATGAAACAACAACTGAAAATACAATCTATAATGATTCAGTAATACGTTTTGAAAATGAAATGACCAGAAAAGACATTTCACTAATGCTGGTTGGATTGTCTTATCAGCATTCTCTATCTAAAGAGGCTATGGTAGACATTATCAAATTGATTGATGCTTTAGCAGGTAAAAAAACTGGATTAACCAATTATTTTATTGAAAAACAGTCCTTACCACCAGATGAAGTTGTGCAGTATAATTTTTATTGTAAGAATTGCCAGTCCTCAATATCACAAGTTACAAAGTCTTCAAGAATTCATCAAAATGTTATCTGCCAGCAATGTGAAACAATGAATGTACTATCACCACTTTCAGACAATTACTTTATAACTTTGGATTCGCACTATCAATTCAAAAAATTTCTGGAGGATGTCAAAATACAGGTTATTCTATCTAATTATGAAAAAGAAAATAAAAATACTAGTATTTCTGATATTACTGATTCAGAGCTTTACCAAGCCTCAAAGAAGAAATATAACTTTGACTTTTCGTTCAATTTCAATACAGATGGGGCTCCTATATTTCATTCTTCTAAACTTTCAATGTGGCCCATTCAACTTGCTGTCAATGAATTACCACCAGAACAAAGACATAGAAACATAATATTAGCTGGAATATGGTTTGGAAAATCAGAACCGAAAATGAATGTTTTCCTAAATGTTTTTGCTGACAATTGTATCATTATAGCAAATGAAGGGGTTTGTTGGAAACTTGATGATTAATCAAAAACATCCAGAATTTTTCCATTATTTTGTTGTGTGGATTCAGTAGCAAGACCAATGATACAAAATTCGACACAATTTAATGGATTTTTTGGATGCAGTTACTGCTATCATACTGGAAAAGTAATAAATATACAGGTGAAATATTCATCTGATGTACAACCATATAATTTACGATCATCAGATGATGTATTGAAACATATGCAAGAAGCAGTTATATCAGGAAGAAGAGTGTTTGGTATCAAAGGCAGTGCAGCAATTATAAATTTGTCAGGTTTTGATCTTGTGTGGGGCTACCCCATAGATTATATGCATATAGTGCGTCAGTGTTGGGAAATTTGGACAACCTATGGAAATGAAATGTATATTGGATCTCCATCTACTTTAAAACTTAAAAATGACAGATTATTGAAGATTCATCCTCCAAATGAAATTCATCGCACACCCAGACCACTGTCTGAAAAAGCAAAATGGAAAGCTAGTGAATGGAGATCTTGGCTGTTATTTTATAGCATACCTTGTCTTCGTGGAATCCTCGGGAATAAATATTTAGTACACTTTTCTTTATTGCAAAGATCAATTTATTTACTATTAAAGAGGGAAATAACATCAAATGATATCACACTTGCAGAGGGTTTATAAAAAATATATGTTTCGAAATGTACTTACCCATTTAGCAATATGTGTAAATAAATGTGGTCCTTTATGGTCCACTTCGAATTTTCATTTCGAATCTTCAATTTTTAATATCAAACAGATAGTTAACGGTCCAATGGGCATCGATAAACAAATAATTTATAAAAGTTTTTCTAAAAATATTGTACGATATACTGATATGTCTGCAACATGTAAAACTTATTTGAATGATATCGCTCGTATGTGAATTGCCTGGAACTTTGCAAAATAATATTCGCATTTTGGGTGCCGGTAGTAAAGAAAGAATTGAGGATATCAACGTTACAGTGTATAACAGAGTGATTATCAATAATACTTAATATTCTAGTAGTAACTATTGTGAAAATAAGAAGAATAACAATTCATGTGTTCAGCTCAAAGATGGACATTTTGCTATTATATTGAAGATTTATAAATTGAATGAATCTATCAAACTGAGAGTACAGAAAATGAATTGTGATTTATTTTTCATACATGAGAATTATGTTGAAAATTGTTGGGTTGTTGACAATGTACAGTGTGAAGATGTGATTGACATATCGCAAATTTTATAAAAGGTTCTGTTGATGAAAGTAGATGGCACTTCATATATAAGTAAATTTCCAAATTATGTTGAAATCCAGTAAATTTTTCCAGATTATATAGTGTTTATAAAATAGCATCACAAACGAAATCACAAACTTCTATAGCAAGTACCAATTCGACAAATTGAAGTATTTTCATTAAATTATTTTTTTATGGAATCATAAAATAAATTAAAATTAGGGTCACCATTGGTCATTGAAAAATTTAATCAATTCGAAAATGGATTGAAAACTTGTAATTAGCAATTAAGGCATTATACAGGGTTGTGCAGAGTTTTGTACATGAATGGAAAGCGGTGATATAGAGACTCGCAAAATAAGTGGATTGTTCTTAGTGAACATTGCAAAATATGCACCATATCTAAGGAAAAACAAAAACAAAAACAAAAGTGATCTTTCTAAAATTAGGCACGACACTATGTTTTTTTGTTCAAAAACTTTATTCAGATAATACCACAGAGAAACTAAATATAGGTATACAGATATGATAAGATAATCAAAGCAGTCTCG